CTAAACAACTCTTTATCATCATTTCGAATTGACATTCCAAAATCGGTCAAATACACATATCCTTTTTCGTCAACAAGAATATTTTCCTCACGAATATCATTGTGAAGAATCTTATAATCATGAATTTTATCTAATACTCTGAGAGCCCTCTTCTTTTGCCTTTTATCTATCTTATGATGATACAGTGTGGTGCCAACAATACTCAACCCCATAATAAAGCTCATTCCATTTGCCAAATCCCCATAAAATAACAGTTCTGGAATATATACACCCTGAAGTTTAGCAAGAACTCTATACATTTCAACTTTATTCAGCAATTCATCCAGACAATTAGGTTTCTTTGATAAGTCTGTGCATTTTAAGACAATTGGTTTTCCATGAAATTCACATTCAAGAACCTTTTTGTTTTCTCCAACACTTAATATACTCATATATTTAAAATCCCCATATTCAAAACTCTATGCTTGTTTTCCTGATGTTTTCCCAGAAGTACTGGAAGATGATCCTTTGGAAGATGAAGATGGTCGTTGACTTTTTCCAGGAGAGGGTTGTTTTGAGCTAGGATCATATCGACGTTTTCGCAAATTATGTTGTGAGTCATCAGTTTGTGGAATGATATTAGCATGAGGGGAATTATGACCATTGTCTATTGCCTGCTGGGCCAGATAGGCGTAGGTTTTTAGAACTGGTGGATGTGTTGAGTTATATTCAAGAGACTCTGATATACATAGATATCTATGATCTCTCTTAACAAACCAACTATGGTTATAAGTAGAAAGTGCTCCATATTTAAGTTGGTTTTCTGACAAGTAGTTATAGAGTTGCTGTATGACCTGCTTCACTTTAGCATCCTCTTCGTAAACTTTAGGTAACGTTTGGTCAGATTCAATGTGGTTTAAAATGTGTACTCTTTTGATTTCGAGTGCCAAGATCAATTCATCACCATCTTTTTTGTGGCAAACAAAATCTGGGTCACCAGTGCCAGAAACGTTTCGCATTGTAAACTTAAAATCAGACACGACCCTGTTCAACGGCAGGCAAACATTAACATTCACAGCCTGGCGGACAATTTCTTCATTGGTTGTAATAAAATCTTTAATAAAAATCGGTTTTTCGAATTTTCGTTCATCTTGATCGAATGTATAATTATTTACACTTGCGAGAAAATCTTTCCAAATCATCACTTTATCCGGAGGGTTGCCGACTGCATTTGTGGAGCTTGTCGAAATGGTGCCATACGGAGAATATGACGGAGCACATGATAGATATTCTTCGAGACTTAGAAGCCCTAAAAAAATGGGATGAGTTAATAAATACTAGATTAGAAAGACGTCCGTTGAATAACACGCGAGGCGTACAAATGATAAACTATTTTATGATAGAACTTACTTTGGTTGTTCAAATTATTAATTAACTCAATAAGCGATGCTCTTTGTCCTACCCGAATGCCACAATCTTTAAGTAATTCATTATTTAACCTAAGAAAGTTGTAACCATTAACCCCTTCGTTACGAAGACTTTGAAATTCAGACTCATTTATTTCCAAATGGGTCTTTCCTCGTAAATAAGTGATAAGCTCGTCCGTATTATATCCTTCAACTTCTTCTACCGAGGGTCCAGTGATGGTACTTGTAGACATTTTCTATTTAAAAAATAGTGAGACAAAAGTTGAAGTTGTACAGTTCTGAAAAAAGAAAAAATTTGCAAAAAAAAGGTGGGGATTGGAGGTATATATAAGAAATCTACTGTCGCACAAATAGTCAGACGATCCATAATTCATTTCGTCATATAACTCATAGGTAGTTTATGATTAAAAATTCAAAGCCCGAAATGTGAGCGAAACTTTATTAACAATTTTTCAGATACAGTAAAAAGCCACGAAGCGAAAAATGGTAGAGATTGCAAGCGAAACAATGATGCTATCAAAGAGAGAGGGAGTTCTCGGATCCTAAGCCATAAATGAGAGTCCCAGCATCATTTTAATTCGCATCACTACCCTCACTATTGCTACTACTATCATTATTATTCGTAAAATTAACTCTCCTTCTCCCTTCCCTTTCTCCCTCCCTTCCTACCCATGTAATAATTTTATCCATTGATGTGACCCTTGGGGTCTTTTGGTGTCTCGAGAAGTCACCGCCAAATACTAATTCAATCATACCTTGCGAAACAGCATCATTTCTCCAATCATTTTCAGTACGCATCCTATGGAGCTCATTATTTAGCGCCAGAATTGATCTTTCAAGATTATTATTTCTTCCAGTCTGCTGTTTGCGAAAATAGATGATTACTCCAGCAAAAATTAAATATAGGAATAAATTTCCTGAAAAAATAGCTCGGAGATTCTCAATGTTTATAACTCCCCGGGATATCATCTCATAAATTAATACTACAGCGCAAAAGAGCACAAGCAGAGAGATATCAGTGAATGAAAGCATTTTATTATTAAATTTGTTTTAGATAGTTTATGCACAAAACTTTGCGAAGTGCCTACGAAGCGCCTTAATGGCTAACGGCTATTTTTTTTGGTTTGTTTTCTTGTTAGAGCAACTCCGATACTTCCCGGTACTTTTATATTTAAGATTACTCCGCAGTTGATAGACATGATCATCAAAAAACATAACAGTCCCTGGTGTGATCTTACAGTCCATTATTTAGCCGATCCTGACCTGCAAATTACCCTGTATTAGAATGTATTAGCTTGGCGATCAAAAAGTAGCATATATAATTTTATCGTTACTGGTCAAGAGATCATATGTAGTATTTAATATTTTTTTATTTGCGAGACATTCCTAGCCTCAAGCTCGACGATCTTAGCCACAAGTTTAGCATTTTCTTCTCTAAGTAAATTTCAGTGAAAAAAATAAACTTATGAGATAATCCAGTACTAAAGTATGTGATAATTCTCCTAGGCGGATACCGGAGATATAATAGGACTCATCATTGATGAGACTTTCCTTTCATATCTTCCGTCACGATAATAATAACCTCTATCACATTCATTATATCCACCGTAATCATTATATCCATCATCGTCCAATTTATCTGGCATCTCTTCTTTAGAATCATTGTCGTGACTACAGTCACTATCATCATTCGTTTCTTCCACTGGATGGGGTGTGAAATCATGATCGACTTCCTCTCCTGAACCACTAGGAACGTTTTCACCATCTGATTTAACTTCGTTCACCACCTCTTTCTCTACCTTAGCCTCGTTTACGTATGGTGTACCCCCATAGAGAGTCTCATCATCAATACCCCCCGTAAGCATTTTTATATAATCCTCCTCATCAGCTGATAAGGATGAATTAGCTATGGTTTCGGAGATTTTGGTCACATGATTTAGACGTTCTGAGGTCGGCGAAAATTCTAGCTCAGTAAAAGAATTAGAATTATTAGAAAAGTGATCTATAACCTTTTGGAGATCTGTATTAGTAATTTTTGAGATAGAATTTGCGTTATATGTTGTGATATATCGAACCTTATCTATCCCTATTTTTTCGAATAAATTAAAGATTTTTATAGCTCTCTGAGTTTGCCTACATAGATTTTCTCGCTTAGTATCAGAAAGCTGTTGGATAATAAAATCATAAACCTGACCTTTTGCCTTTTTCTCGCCAACTTTACCATTGGCCATGATGCCTTTAACCATAATTAAAAACTCTTCAGCATATAAATACCAGCTTAGTATCTCTTCTTGATTAGCTTTCATTGCGAGACCTTCTGCATCGCTGGCTCTTTGATATAAGCAAATGATATTTTCCTTACCCGAAATAAGCGAAATTTCTAAAGGATTGAGAGACAATGTGCATATGGAATCATTCTCCTGAATAGATGAAGGAGTAATGGATTCATTAAAGTTACGAGTAATTTCTTGAATTAATCCCTGCCCATTTTTTGTACTCACGAGCTTTTCAGAAGAAGAGATACTAGAGGCAGTATCAGATATTTTTTGTAATGATACTTAATCTTCCACCACTTTACTAAGTTTCTTCTCCTTATTGCATCGCCTAATATCTTCACCAATACTTTTCTTACTTATCTCGACTAGGAAAGTGTCTATCTTCTTATCCTCTGATGATTTTTCAAGATGGTCTGCATCTGAATTGAACTTAGATGAGTTGTCGTTAAGAGTATTATCATTTTGCGAATGATTCTGCTCCAATTTAGTAATTCTATCAGTGGTATCCGTCTTATTTTTCTCTAGATTCTCAATTCTAGCATCACGTCTATTATTCTCTTCCGTTACCTGCTTTATAAGCTCCGCATTTCTGGCCTCAAACTCAACAACCTTCTTTCTAAGTTCGTAAATCTCGACATTCCTAGCTTCAACCTCAGCAAGCTTCTTTCTAAGTTCAGGAATCTTGGCAAGTTTCTTTCTAAGATCGGGGATCACAATATTCTCTTTCCTAAGCTCTGCATTCTCAGCCTCAAGTTCAGTGATGCGCTGTTTTAATGATTCAAGCGAGAATGACATGATCTATATATAACTAATATAATGTACATAAGCATTCAAAATAAAAAAATGTGTTTTTTGGGTGACGGGCCTCGCTGAAATTACCAAGAAAATTTTTTATTAATACACGCAAATAAATACAAGATTCGGGAGAACATAAT